TATATATATATATATATATATATATATATATATATATATATAAAAGATGCTACGGTACGCCAACAGGCTTAGTGTAGAGAATACGCAAAACTGTCCAGATTGAATCTGGGCCGATCTGACGGTCACATCCTCATTTCGTGTTTGAATTTTAATTTTTTTTCTACAACTCCAAATCACTTGAAATTTTAAATGTGTGTTCTTCTCATCAAGACGCACCAAATAAAAATATCAAAAAAAATAATTCGCAAAAAAAAATTCATATTTGAACACTAAATGAGATCGTGGCCATCTGGTGACCGTCAAATCGACCCAAATTGAATCTAGGCCGTTGGGCATATTTCTATCTGTAAGCCCACTAGCTTACAGGATCATTTGCCATAGCTATATATATTTGGGCGTATTTCTATCTGTAAGCCCACTGGCTTACAAGATCATTTGCCATATATATATATTTAGGCGTACTTCTATCTGTAAGCCCACTGGCTTACAAGATCATTTGCTATATATACATATATATATATATATATATACACACACCCTTAATTAAAAAAATGCTCCATGTACAAAACAAGGGTATAAAAGTGTCCAAAAATTATTGAGTACAATGATAAATTACTTCAAAGTATGAGCACCCTAATATAACCCATATATATATATATATATATATAGAAAATGCTGAGATTAGTCCACTAGCTCAAATGAACATATGAACCCAATGGCCCAAATTAAATCTAGGCCGATCTGACGGTCACAGCCTTATTTTGAATTTTAATTTTTTTATATGAATCCAAATTATTTAAAATTTTAGGCATGTGTTCTTCAAAAATAAGAGAATCTAATAAAAATATCAAAAAAATAATTTGCAATAAATAAAATTGATCAAAATACACCTGAAGCATTTTGGAGGTAATTTTGTCAATTTATTTTTTAAATATTTTTATCAAGTTCGCCATTATGAGAAGAATGGACACCTAAAATTTCAAGTTACTCGGATTTGTAGAAAAAAAAATTAAAATTCAAACACGAAATGAGGTCGTGACCGTCTGATCGGCCAAGATTCAATCTAGGCCGATGGGCTCATATGAGCTAGTGGGCTAATCTCAGTATTTTCCCATATATATATATATATAGCCGAGGCTCTAAACAATCAAATTAAAGCCCACCTTCAAATAGTATCGAAAAATGTGGTTTCAATATTTGAAATCTTTGTAATAGCCTTAAAATATATTGAGTGCGGTTTGTATAGAGCCTAGGCTCTAAACAATCAAATTAGAGCGTACCTTCAAATAGTGTCAAGAAATGTGGTTTCAATACTAGATATCACTGTGAAGCCTTAAAATACATTTTCATATTTATTTATAAAGTTTCAAGCTTCAAAAATAGTGTACATCGATAGATCTATGAAAACTTGAAAATCTTGAAAATTGACGATCAAAAAATGCATTACAAAATACACTATTTTCAAAACTTGAAATCCATTTTTTTTTCACGTCCATGTATCTTGACGTTGAGATGATCAATTTGAAGATATTTGAGTTTCAAAACAACCTCTTCTAGTAAAATTTTTGAGGTAGGCTCAAATTTGATTGTTTAGAACCTCAGCTCTATATAAACTTTTCCCAAATATATTTTCATCTTTAATTATAAAATTTAAAGATTAAAAAATAGTGTAGATCGAGCAGATCTATGAACACTTGAAAATCTTGAGAAGTGACGGTCCAAAAATGCATTACAAGATGCAATATTTCCAAAACTTGAAATCCATTTTTTTCTCATGTCCATGCATCTTGATGTTGAGATGATCAATTTGAGGATATTTGAGCATCAAAACAACCTCGTCCAGTAAAATTTTTGTGGTAGGCTCTAATTTGATTGTTTAGAGCCTCGGCTCTATATAAACTTTTCCCTATGTATATGTGTGTGTGTGTGTGTGTGTGTGTGTGGTCATTGAGAAATCATTCTATGTTATGAGTCGTACTGCATCAAGAACAATTCTAATGCAATAAAGACATGTCTCATGTACCTTGAACTGGTACGCCTCTCCCTTCTCCATTGCTTTCTTCCAGTGGTACTGCTCATGCAACATTGCTCGATCATGCCAACTGCACATACAAAAGACAACTAGCCATA